CTTAATGGGTTTGTAACTGTGCAGTGTCAGCAAGGCGGACAGCCCGCCTGCTTTCTTAACTCTCGCTGTATGTCCCACTTCTATACTTCCCTTCACCTATGCCTCTCCTTCCTCTTTACTACAAAACAAAAAAAAAAATCTGCTATTAGATGGAATTATTGTTATTGTTCGGGACGGAGGAAAGGAATGTTACCAGGTGACCAACCACTTGGGCTGGACGGTAGAGCGGCAGTCTCGCTTCATGAAGGTTGGCGTTCAATCCCCGACCGTCCAAGTAGGACGGTCGGGGATTGAACCACCATTCCTAATCTCCCCCCCCCCCATCCCTATGCTGACCCCCTTCCAAGTGCTATATAGTCGTAATGGCTTGACGCTTTCCACTAATAATTCTCTTTCTCCGTTATAAATTTCACATTTACCAACACAAACAATTATAAATCCGCCAACAAAAAATCCAAATCCAAAGTGTATTTATATTCTCAGAATGAGGATGTTGTAGAGACCATGCAAGGTAGCGAAGGCAGTAACTCGTAACATTTCTGTAGATTAGAAGAATAAAAATAATCCATGTTAAAATACAATTAATTCGAGCTTCGTCATAAACAAATGTTGCTTCGTCATAAATGCGCTCATTAAATATATTTATAAAAGACACCCGTTACGCAAACTCTGGTCGAAGAAAATGGAGACATTCATGGTTCAGAGAGAACGCGTTACCTTAATAAAAGGGGCAACAATTTTCATTATTTTTTTGTTTTACCTGCATTTACTTGAATGCCACTAACACTTTACCGGCCTCGACGAGTACAGTAGGCCGACGGCATGTCAAGGGTCTTTCATTTCATTCTTATATTATATATCTATATATATATATATATATATATATATATATATATATATATATATATATATATATAAGTATATATAATTATATATAAAATATGTAATTCAGAGGCAAATGAAAGACCCTTGACATGCCGTCGGCCTACTGTACTCGTCGAGGCCGGTAAAGTGTTTATATATATATATATATATATATATATATATGTCGTACCTAATAGCCAGAACGCACTTCTCAGCCTACTATTCAAGGCCCGATTTGCCTAATAAGCCAAGTTTTCCTGTATATATATATATATATATATATATATATATATATATATATATATATATATATATATATATATATATATATATATATATATATATATATATATTGGTAGCAGTCTTTCCTGTAGACATATATTATTAAATATGACCGAAAAAGTAAGATTAATAATTCTAACACGAATTTTCTCTATGTTTCTTATATTTCTTTTCACTGTTGATGGTAACTGAAAAATCAATTCTCCAAAATTCATTTTTATTTCTAGTCTGATGTGACACTTGAACGCGTTTCGTAAAACTTATTACATTTTCAAAGACTTTAGTTTACACACACACAACTATAACTGAACAGAGTTCAAACAGCTTCAATTTTATACCTGCATTTGGGTGAGGTTATATGTTACAACAGTTTTGGATGAAGTGAAAACAAACTTTCAACACAAGACAGAACACGAAACAATGGGTAAAATATTTTGTAAGTTAAAGGGAAGAATGGCAGTAACTGCAGAGGGCCTATTGGCCCATATTTCTTGATGCTTCTATATTGGTACGGAGTCTTGAAGTGGGTAGAATATAGTTGTGCATTAATTGGCTGTTGATTGCTGGTGTCGACTTCTTAATGTGTAGTGCCTCGCAGATATCAAGCCCCCTGCTATCGCTGTATCTATCGATGATTTCCGTTTTATTTGTTAAGACTTCTCTGGTGATGGTCTGGTTGTGGGAAGAGATTATATGTTCCTTAATGGAGCCCTGTTGCTTATGCATCGTTAATCGCCTGGAAAGAGATGTTGTTGTCTTGCCTATATACTGAGTTCTTTGAGGCTTACAGTCCCCAAGTGGGCATTTGAAGGCAAAGACGACATTGGTCTTTTTTAAAGCGTTCTGCTTTGTGTCTGGAGAGTTTCTCATGAGTAGGTTGACCGTTTTCTTGGTTTTATAGTAGATCGTCAATTGTATCTTCTGATTTTTGTCTGTAGGGATAACGTACCTATTAACAATATCTTTCAGGACCCTTTCCTCCGTTTTATGAGCTGTGGAAAAGAAGTTCCTGTAAAATAGTCTAATAGGGGGTATAGGTGTTGTGTTGGTTGTCTCTTCAGAGGTTGCATGGCGCTTCACCTTCCTACTTATGATGTCTTCAAAGAAACCATTGGAGAAGCCGTTGTTGACTAGGACCTGCCTTACCCTACAGAGTTCTTAATCGACTTGCTTCCATCCTGAGCTGTGGCTGAGAGCACGGTCGACATAAGCGTTAACGACACTCCTCTTGAACCTGTCTGGGCAGTCACTGTTGGCATTGAGGCACATTCCTATGTTTGTTTCCTTAGTGTAGACTGCAGTGTGGAAACCTCCGCTCCTTTCCATGACTGTTACATATAGAAAGGGCAGCTTCCCATCCTTCTCCATCTCGTAAGTTTAACGCAACACAGAATTCCGCTCAAATGCCTCCTTCAGCTCCTGCAGATGTCTGACATCAGGTACCTGTGTAAAAATGTCGTCAACATACCTGCAGTATATGGCCGGTTTCAAGTTCATGTCGACTAAGACCTTTTGTTCGATGGTACCCATGTAGAAGTTTGCAAACAGGACACCTAGGGGAGAACCCATCGCGACCCCATCTACTTGTTTATACATGTGCCCATCAGGGCTCAAGAAGGGTGCCTCTTTAGTACAAGCTTGGAGTAGTTTCCTTAGAATGTTTTCTGGTATGTCAAGAGGAGTACAGGCCGGATCACGATACACTCTGTCCGCTATCATCCATGCTATGATGGTCTACTGACCGTCCACGGGGAGAGGGAGGTGGTGTACTACCGTCCACGGGGAGAGGGAGGTGGTGTACTACCGTCCACGGGGAGAGGGAGGTGGTGTACTACCGTCCACGGGGAGAGGGGGGTGGTGTACTACCGTCCACGGGGAGAGGGGGGTGGTGTACTACCGTCCACGGAGAGAGGGGGTGGTGTACTACCGTCCACGGGGAGTGGGGGTGGTGTACTACCGTCCACGGGGAGAGGGGGGTGGTGTACTACCGTCCACGGGGAGAGGGGGGTGGTGTACTACCGTCCACGGAGAGAGGGGGGTGGTGTACTACCGTCCACGGGGAGAGGGGGGTGGTGTACTACCGTCCACGGGGAGAGGGGGGTGGTGTACTACCGTCCACGGAGAGAGGGGGGTGGTGTACTACCGTCCACGGGGAGAGGGGGGTGGTGTACTACCGTCCACGGGGAGAGGGGGGTGGTGTACTACCGTCCACGGGGAGAGGGGGGGTGGTGTACTACCGTCCACGGGGAGAGGGGGGTGGTGTACTACCGTCCACGGGGAGAGGGGGGTGGTGTACTACCGTCCACGGGGAGAGGGGGGTGGGTGTACTACCGTCCACGGAGAGAGGGAGGTGGTGTACTACCGTCCACGGGGAGAGGGAGGTGGTGTACTACCGTCCACGGGGAGAGGGAGGTGGTGTACTACCGTCCACGGGGAGAGGGAGGTGGTGTACTACCGTCCACGGGGAGAGGGAGGTGGTGTACTACCGTCCACGGGGAGAGGGAGGTGGTGTACTACCGTCCACGGAGAGAGGGAGGTGGTGTACTACCGTCCACGGAGAGAGGGAGGTGGTGTACTACCGTCCACGGAGAGAGGGAGGTGGTGTACTACCGTCCACGGAGAGAGGGAGGTGGTGTACTACCGTCCACGGAGAGAGGGAGGTGGTGTACTACCGTCCACGGAGAGAGGGAGGTGGTGTACTACCGTCCACGGAGAGAGGGAGGTGGTGTACTACCGTCCACGGAGAGAGGGAGGTGGTGTACTACCGTCCACGGAGAGAGGGAGGTGGTGTACTACCGTCCACGGAGAGAGGGGGGTGGTGTACTACCGTCCACGGAGAGAGGGAGGTGGTGTACTACCGTCCACGGAGAGAGGGAGGTGGTGTACTACCGTCCACGGAGAGAGGGAGGTGGTGTACTACCGTCCACGGAGAGAGGGAGGTGGTGTACTACCGTCCACGGGGAGAGGGAGGTGGTGTACTACCGTCCACGGGGAGAGGGAGGTGGTCTACTACCGTCCGTGGGGACAAACAGACGGTCTACTACCGTCCGTGGGGACAAACAGACGGTCTACTACCGTCCGTGGGGACAAACAGACGGTCTACTACCGTCCGTGGGGACAAACAGACGGTCTACTACCGTCCATGGGGAGAGGGAGGTGGTCTACTACCGTCCATGGGGAGAGGGAGGTGGTCTACTACCGTCCATGGGGAGAGGGAGGTGGTCGTCTACCGTCCACGGGGACAAACAGACGGTCTACTACCGTCCATGGGGAGAGGGAGGTGGTCGTCTACCGTCCACGGGGACAAACAGACGGTCTACTACCGTCCATGGGGAGAGGGAGGTGGTGTACTACCGTCCATCGGGACAAACAGACGGTCTACTACCGTCCGTGGGGACAAACAGACGGTCTACTACCGTCCATGGGGAGAGGGAGGTGGTCGTCTACCGTCCACGGGGACAAACAGACGGTCTACTACCGTCCATGGGGAGAGGGAGGTGGTCGTCTACCGTCCACGGGGACAAACAGACGGTCTACTACCGTCCATGGGGAGAGGGAGGTGGTCGTCTACCGTCCACGGGGACAAACAGACGGTCTACTACCGTCCATGGGGAGAGGGAGGTGGTCTACTACCGTCCATGGGGACAAACAGACGGTCTACTACCGTCCATTGGGAGAGGGAGGTGGTCGTCTACCGTCCACGGGGACAAACAGACGGTCTACTACCGTCCATGGGGAGAGGGAGGTGGTGTACTACCGTCCATCGGGACAAACAGACGGTCTACTCACCGTCCGTGGGACAAACAGACGGTCTACTACCGTCCATTGGGAGAGGGAGGTGGTCGTCTACCGTCCACGGGGACAAACAGACGGTCTACTCACCGTCAATGTCGATCTCGTCCAGCATGACCCGGAGCTCCTCCTCGGTGGCAAACTGTCCAAGGTTCCTCATGAACTGTCCCAACTCCTGCTTGGTGATCGTCCCGTCTCCGTCCTTGTCGAATAGCCGGAATGCCTCCCTCAGCTCTGTAAGACGGCAGGTGTTGTAGTGTGGGGCGGGTGTTGTAGTGCGGGGCGGGTGTTGTAGTGCGGGGGCGGGTGTTGTAGTGTGGGGCGGGTGTTGTAGTGTGGGGCGGGTGTTGTAGTGGGGGCAGGTGTTGTAGTGTGGGGCGGGTGTTGTAGTGGGGGGCGGGTGTTGTGTGGGGCAGGTGTTGTAGTGTGGGGCGGGTGTTGTAGTGCGGGGCGGGTGTTGTAGTGTGGGGCAGGTGTTGTAGTGTGGGGCGGGTGTTGTAGTGTGGGGCGGGTGTTGTAGTGCGGGGCGGGTGTTGTGTGGGGCAGGTGTTGTAGTGTGGGGCGGGTGTTGTAGTGCGGGGGCAGGTGTTGTAGTGCGGGGCGGGTGTTGTGTGGGGCAGGTGTTGTAGTGTGGGGCAGGTGTTGTAGTGCGGGGGCAGGTGTTGTAGTGCGGGGGCGGGTGTTGTAGTGTGGGGCGGGTGTTGTAGTGCGGGGCGGGTGTTGTAGTGTGGGGCGGGTGTTGTAGGTGTTGTAGTGTGGGGCGGGTGTTGTAGGTGGGGCGGGTGTTGTAGTGTGTGGGGCGGGTGTTGTAGTGTGGGGCAGGTGTTGTAGTGCGGGGCGGGTGTTGTAGTGCGGGGCGGGTGTTGTAGTGTGGGGCAGGTGTTGTAGTGTGGGGCAGGTGTTGTAGTGTGGGGCGGGTGTTGTAGTGTGGGGCGGGTGTTGTAGTGCGGGGCGGGTGTTGTGTGGGGCGGGTGTTGTAGTGTGGGGCAGGTGTTGTAGTGTGGGGCGGGTGTTGTAGTGCGGGGCGGGTGTTGTAGTGTGGGGCAGGTGTTGTAGTGTGGGGCGGGTGTTGTAGTGCGGGGCGGGTGTTGTAGTGCGGGGCGGGTGTTGTAGTGTGGGGCGGGTGTTGTAGTGTGGGGCGGGTGTTGTAGTGTGGGGCGGGTGTTGTAGTGTGGGGCGGGTGTTGTAGTGTGGGGCGGGTGTTGTAGTGTGGGGCGGGTGTTGTAGTGTGGGGCGGGTGTTGTGTGGGGCGGGGGGTGTTGTGTGGGGCGGGTGTTGTGTGGGGCGGGTGTTGTAGTGTGGGGCGGGTGTTGTAGTGTGGGGGGGGTGTTGTAGTGTGGGGGCGGGTGTTGTAGTGTGGGGCGGGTGTTGTGGGGCGGGTGTTGGGGGGCGGGTGTTGTAGTGTGGGGCGGGTGTTGTAGTGTGGGGCGGGTGTTGTAGTGTGGGGCGGGTGTTGTAGTGTGGGGCGGGTGTTGTAGTGTGGGGCGGGTGTTGTAGTGCGGGGCGGGTGTTGTAGTGTGCGGGGGCGGGTGTTGTAGTGTGGGGCGGGTGTTGTAGTGTGGGGCGGGGTGTGTTGTGTGGGGCGGGTGTTGTAGTGTGGGGCGGGTGTTGTAGTGTGGGGCGGGTGTTGTAGTGTGGGGCGGGTGTTGTAGTGTGGGGCGGGGTGTTGGTGTGGGGCGGGTGTTGTAGTGTGGGGCGGGTGTTGTAGTGTGGGGCGGGTGTTGTGTGGGGCGGGTGTTGTAGTGTGGGGCGGGTGTTGTAGTGTGGGGCGGGTGTTGTAGTGTGGGGCGGGTGTTGTAGTGTGGGGCGGGTGTTGTAGTGTGGGGCGGGTGTTGTAGTGTGGGGCGGGTGTTGTAGTGTGGGGCGGGTGTTGTGTGGGGCGGGTGTGTAGTGTGGGGCGGGTGTTGTAGTGTGGGGCAGGTGTTGTAGTGTGGGGCGGGTGTTGTGTGTGGGGCGGGTGTTGTAGTGCGGGGGCAGGTGTTGGTGTGTGGGCGGGTGTTGTGTGGGGCGGGTGTTGTGTGGGGCGGGTGTTGTAGTGCGGGGGCAGGTGTTGTAGTGTGGGGCGGGTGTTGTAGTGTGGGGCGGGTGTTGTAGTGCGGGGGCAGGTGTTGTAGTGTGGGGCGGGTGTTGTGTAGTGTGGGGCAGGTGTTGTAGTGTAGTGTGCGGGGGCGGGTGTTGTAGTGTGGGGCGGGTGTTGTAGTGTGGGGCAGGTGTTGTAGTGTGGGGCGGGTGTTGTAGTGTGGGGCGGGTGTTGTAGTGTGGGGCGGGTGTTGTAGTGCGGGGGCAGGTGTTGTAGTGTGGGGGCGGGTGTTGTAGTGTGGGGCGGGTGTTGTAGTGCGGGGGCGGGTGTTGTAGTGTGGGGGCGGGTGTTGTAGTGTGGGGCGGGTGTTGTAGTGTGGGGGCGGGTGTTGTAGTGTGGGGGCGGGTGTTGTAGTGTGGGGGCGGGTGTTGTAGTGTGGGGGCGGGTGTTGTAGTGTGGGGGCGGGTGTTGTAGTGTGGGGGCGGGTGTTGTAGTGTGGGGGCGGGTGTTGTAGTGTGGGGGCGGGTGTTGTAGTGTGGGGGCGGGTGTTGTAGTGTGGGGCGGGTGTTGTAGTGTGGGGGCGGGTGTTGTAGTGCGGGGGGCGGGGCGGGTGTTGTAGTGTGGGGGCGGGTGTTGTAGTGTGGGGCGGGTGTTGTAGTGCGGGGGCGGGTGTTGTAGTGCGGGGCGGGGTGTTGTAGTGTGGGGCAGGTGTTGTAGTGTGGGGCGGGTGTTGTAGTGTGGGGCAGGTGTTGTAGTGTGGGGCGGGTGTTGTAGTGTGGGGCGGGTGTTGTAGTGTGGGGCGGGTGTTGTAGTGCGGGGGCGGGTGTTGTAGTGCGGGGCGGGTGTTGTAGTGTGGGGCGGGTGTTGTAGTGCGGGGCGGGTGTTGTAGTGTGGGGGCGGGTGTTGTAGTGTGGGGGCGGGTGTTGTAGTGTGGGGGCGGGTGTTGTAGTGCGGGGCGGGTGTTGTAGTGTGGGGCAGGTGTTGTAGTGTGGGGCGGGTGTTGTAGTGTGGGGCGGGTGTTGTAGTGCGGGGCGGGTGTTGTAGTGTGGGGGCGGGTGTTGTAGTGCGGGGCAGTGCGGGGCAGGTGTTGTAGTGCGGGGCGGGTGTTGTAGTGTGGGGGCGGGTGTTGTAGTGTGGGGGCGGGTGTTGTAGTGCGGGGCAGGTGTTGTAGTGTGGGGCAGGTGTTGTAGTGTGGGGCGGGTGTTGTAGTGTGGGGCGGGTGTTGTAGTGTGGGGCGGGTGTTGTAGTGTGGGGCGGGTGTTGTAGTGTGGGGCGGGTGTTGTAGTGTGGGGGCGGGTGTTGTAGTGCGGGGCGGGTGTTGTAGTGTGGGGCAGGTGTTGTAGTGTGGGGCGGGTGTTGTAGTGTGGGGCGGGTGTTGTAGTGCGGGGCGGGTGTTGTAGTGTGGGGGCGGGTGTTGTAGTGTGGGGCAGGTGTTGTAGTGTGGGGCGGGTGTTGTAGTGTGGGGCGGGGTGTTGTAGTGTGGGGCGGGTGTTGTAGTGTGGGGGCGGGTGTTGTAGTGCGGGGCGGGTGTTGTGTGGGGCGGGTGTTGTAGTGTGGGGCGGGTGTTGTAGTGTGGGGCAGGTGTTGTAGTGTGGGGCAGGTGTTGTAGTGCGGGGCGGGTGTTGTAGTGTGGGGGCGGGTGTTGTAGTGCGGGGCGGGTGTTGTGTGGGGCGGGTGTTGTAGTGCGGGGCGGGTGTTGTAGTGCGGGGGCGGGTGTTGTAGTGTGGGGCAGGTGTTGTAGTGTGGGGCAGGTGTTGTAGTGCGGGGCGGGTGTTGTAGTGCGGGGGCGGGTGTTGTAGTGTGGGGCAGGTGTTGTAGTGTGGGGCAGGTGTTTGTAGTGCGGGGCGGGTGTTGTAGTGCGGGGGCGGGTGTTGTAGTGCGGGGGCGGGTGTTGTAGTGTGGGGCAGGTGTTGTAGTGTGGGGCAGGTGTTGTAGTGTGGGGCAGGTGTTGTAGTGTGGGGCGGGTGTTGTAGTGCGGGGGCGGGTGTTGTAGTGTGGGGCAGGTGTTGTAGTGTGGGGCAGGTGTTGTAGTGCGGGGCGGGTGTTGTAGTGTGGGGCGGGTGTTGTAGTGCGGGGGCAGGTGTTGTAGTGTGGGGCGGGTGTTGTAGTGTGGGGCAGGTGTTGTAGTGTGGGGCAGGTGTTGTAGTGTGGGGCGGGTGTTGTAGTGTGGGGCAGGTGTTGTGTGAGGCAGGTGTTGTAGTGTGGGGCGGGTGTTGTAGTGTGGGGCAGGTGTTGTGTGAGGCAGGTGTTGTAGTGTGGGGCGGGTGTTGTAGTGTGGGGCGGGTGTTGTAGTGTGGGGCGGGTGTTGTAGTGGGGGCGGGTGTTGTAGTGTGGGGCGGGTGTTGTAGTGCGGGGGCGGGTGTTGTAGTGCGGGGCGGGTGTTGTAGTGTGGGGCAGGTGTTGTGTGAGGCAGGTGTTGTAGTGTGGGGCGGGTGTTGTAGTGCGGGGCGGGTGTTGTGTGGGGCAGGTGTTGTAGTGGGGGCGGTGTTGTGTGTGGGGCAGGTGTTGTAGTGCGGGGCGGGTGTTGTGTGGGGCAGGTGTTGTAGTGTGGGGCAGGTGTTGTGTGAGGCAGGTGTTGTAGTGTGGGGCGGGTGTTGTAGTGCGGAGCGGTGTGTGGGCAGGTGTTGTAGTGTGGGGCGGGTGTTGTGTGAGGCAGGTGTTGTAGTGTGGGGCGGGTGTTGTGTGAGGCAGGTGTTGTAGTGTGGGGCGGGTGTTGTGTGGGGCAGGTGTTGTAGTGCGGGGCGGGGTGTTGTGTGGGGCAGGTGTTGTAGTGTGGGGCAGGTGTTGTAGTGCGGGGCGGGTGTTGTGTGGGGCGGGTGTTGTTGTGTGGGGCGGGTGTTGTAGTGTGGGGCGGGTGTTGTAGTGTGGGGCGGGTGTTGTGTGGGGCAGGTGTTGTAGTGCGGGGCGGGTGTTGTGTGGGGCAGGTGTTGTAGTGTGGGGCAGGTGTTGTGTGAGGCAGGTGTTGTAGTGTGGGGCGGGTGTTGTGTGGGGCGGGTGTTGTGTGGGGCAGGTGTTGTAGTGTGGGGCGGGTGTTGTGTGGGGCAGGTGTTGTAGTGCGGGGCGGGTGTTGTGTGGGGCAGGTGTTGTAGTGTGGGGCAGGTGTTGTGTGAGGCAGGTGTTGTAGTGTGGGGCGGGTGTTGTGGGCTATTTGGGCTTGATTCTGATTAATTAATAATTAAAATAGTAAATTAAATTACGAAGGACCACCCGCTTT